GGGCAGCAGGGCCTATCGCCTGCCGTCAGGACTGCAGGGCGAGATGTGGCTTTGTCTTGCCAAAGCTTTTGTGCCTCACAGGTTTGCTGTGTTTTGTTCGGATTTTTTCTTTCCCCCTGAAAGGCTCCCTGTGGGATTTTAACAGTGGTTTGGTGGTGGCCACTGCTGGCAGAGCTGTAGAGAAATGGTTGTTGGGTTTTTTGAAACTCTTCATCAGCAGTAACACTTAGCGGTGCATTAGCTGTGTCATCAAGTGTATTTTATGTGTGTGTGTGTTTCCTTTCCTCAGAGAAAAGTGCAGCCGTTGATAATCTGTTGATGAGTGAAACAGCAAGAACACGGTTTCCTTCATCAGTAGTTGCCAGCAATGGGAGTTGAACCTTTGCTGGTTTTGTAATGAATTAGGTCCATTGAAATATTTTTTCCTGTTCTGACACTCCGTGAGTAATTCAAATAACTCAACATTTCTTCCAGGGAATGGAGCTCCTGAGTGTTTCTAGTTAACTTTTTGAAATGTTAAATCATTGCCTCTGATCACTTACAAAGTTTGCTTTGTGACTTTTTAGTTCACAGAACATTTATTTCTAATTAGCAGCATCTTTAGTAATTTTCATATATGCGTAGTCAAATAGATCACAGAGAAATACCACTGGCAAGATACCTGTGCCTGATTTCAGAAATTCTAAGCTGACACGGGATATAAGCCTGCCACATTCACTGATCGTATTCATTAGTGTTTACTGCTAATACAGCACCTGTTTGACTAAAAACAGATTTGAGACCAGCAACTAGAAATCCAAAGTCTGTCAAAACCACCAAACTCTGCATCTAAGGGCATTGTGAAACGTTACTGGTTGACTCAGTATTTTCTGGCTGCATCACGATGCCAGCTTTTATGTTTCGAGCGTTAAATGTGCAGCTCAGTTGTGAATATCCTGTAACAACTCTGCCATGCTACTTGCTCCAGGTGAACGTGAACACTTGTGTGAAGGCAATGGAATAGAACTCAGATCTAAACAGTAAAGTTTTGCAAACAAGTTAGAATTTATGATGAAAAACTCTAGATCATGGTCATTCTTAAAAGGTTTTCTGCAGCTTTAACCTAGAGGCTTACAGACAGACATTTATGCACATTATGTAATCTTGTGGAAGCTAAAAAAAATATTAGGAGAATTAGTTTTCCTCTTTGATTTGCAAGCGAGCAAACTCTAAAATGCACTCCATACTGCCTGTGACAGGTGAAATGGAATATCAATACCTTTTAGCCCTAAGTGGGTGGAATAGGTCTAGAGTGCAAAATGTAAAACCTGGGGAAATAACCCTAAACCAAATCCTTTTGTGACTTATTAACCCATTCTCCTTTCGATAAAATAAAGACGTATATGAGTGAAAGCTGCTTGTACAGAGTGTTTAACATGACATTGCTTTCAATAATTAGCCTCAGTGGAACATGCCTGTGATCGCTGTTCAGCAACTTCTCACTGAGAAGCACAAGACGATGACAAGCAGAAGTGGCAGCAAAGCCTGCAGAGCTTTGCAAGGTAAATCATCTTGGGGTTTGCAGAGGGCTGGAGCAAAAAAAAAAAAAGGCTAAGATTGCTGTTGTCTTATTGTCTGAAACTTTGGGATTAAAATGGAAGTCCGTACAACTGCAACTGGTGGGTACAGGTGAGAAGTTGGTCAGTTTCTTCTCCCAAGTAACAAGCGACAGGAGGAGAGGAAACAGGCTCAGGTTGTACCAGAGGAGGTTTAGGATGCATATTAGGAAAAATTTCTTTACTGAAGCAGTGATGAGGCACTGGAACAGGCTGCCCAGGGAAGCAGTGGAGTCACCGTCCTTGGAGGTGTTCAAAAACCGTGTAGATGTGGTGCTTCAGGACATGGTCACGGTGGTGTTGGGTTGACAGTTGATGATCTTCTAAGTCTTCTACAAGATTAAGGATTCAACGATTCCAAGCGTTGTTGGAAGGGGTGCTGGGCTGCACGCGGGTGGTTGGTCGCAGCACAGTGTTTCTTGCCACCTGAAGCCTCCCGCTGTCCCAGGGGTGCCCTGAACTCTGTGCTCCAGGCTGAGATGTTATTTTCTGGGACTTGCAAACCTCGTGAATGAGCATTATTCCTGAGTGCAAAGTTTACACAGAGCTCTGTTGCGTTAGAGACACGGTAGCTACGAATATAAGCAAAGCAAGGTTTGTAGGAAAATAACCTTTGTTAGCCTAGTGTAAAAGTTGAATGTTTTTCTGGCATGTGGCCCTTTTATCATGTGTCCTCAGAAGCACACCTCTTCTCTCCGGCTGTCGTAGTTAATTTTATAGAAGTTATTTCTCCCTAACCCAAAGTCCCCATGTTGTTCGAACACAGGCACATGATTTGAGGTGTCCTGTCAAAAGCCGAGCTCAGTTCACTGGAACCAGCCGACATAGGCTTGTAATGGATTAACATTTGGCAGGAAAAGATCAGAGAAAACGAATTCTAATTTCCCAGGAGTGTTTTCAGACACACTACATCCCAAATTGGTATGTTCTTTTTGCAGGACTCTTGGAGAGTTCTCGTGGACCTGTTGCTAGATGTGAGGTGATCTGAAAGTAAGTGCAGCCCAGCACAGGTGGATGTCATCAGCCAAATGAATTAGGTAACTTGTTTTATTTCATTTTCCATATGCTCATTCTGAAACAGGTTTCTGGCATCTAAACAACTGTTTCTGAAACACTTCATAAAGAAAGACAAATGGCTCATTTTCACAAGTCCATATAGTGTTTGGAATATTATTCTATTTACATTTGTCTCCC